ACTTGGTTGTCACAAAACTATTAACAGAAGAGTCAGTCTAAATGTAAACAACACGTTCATGAATCTGTTATAGCTTACTCCATAATTTCAAAAGTAACACAGAGAGTGAAAACAAATTTATTGCTAATTCTCAGCTTTCTGATTTTCAAGACTATTTTCCAGCTCTTCTGCATATGTAGACTAGGTAGTTAGTTCTAAACAATCTTTACCTCCCTAAGAAAGAGAAACCTACTATGAAGATGAATTGTTCTCTCAAATCTGGCTAATAGCACTATAGTTAAAACAATAACAACAAAAACTATGAAGTTGTTCTTATCTGTCCTTATCTCTTTATGCCTTTAAGTACATCACCAATAATTTTAAAACATTTCTTCCACTTTTGTCTGTCACTCCCTGGGTTCCACCCAAAAAATTATCTGCATATCCTATCATTTGCTGTACAGATGGAGCTCATCTAAAATATTAAGTGGAAGAAGTCTTCTCTGTCATGGATTTATCATGTTTCATAAACAACTGGACCCTCAAGAAGGAAGTCGGTCTTAAGCAGCAGACTAGATCACACTGTAGAAAAACAGTAGCTTTCACAATGTCCCCTAAACTCTAAGGCAAAGCCAAGAAAAGCTAATATGAGAGGAGAGCATTTTCATTCAAAAATTACCCCTCCAAAGCTGGGCAGGTGGTTCAAACCTAGATACTTGAGAGGCAGCTGAGATCTGGAGACATAAAGAAGACCTTACCTCAAATGCAAAAAGGCAACTGGAGGCATGTTTCAAGGGATTGAGTCCCTGCTTTGCAAATGCAAGGCCCTGAGTTCAATCCATGCACCACACACACACACACACACACACACACCACACACACACACACACACACACACACACACACACACACACACACACACACACACACACACACACACACACACACACACACCAAAATTAATTCCAACCAAACTTATCGAGTAAACAAAAGCTCAGCAGTTAGGACAAATGGCAACAAGGGAAACGATTTCTTGGAGTAAAATTATCTGTTCCAGGCCTTTCACAACTATAAATCTTTTTTTTGAGGCTCTATGTTGTTACTTTATGTATTATTAACAAAAAGGTATAATGAAGGTATATCTGTGTCATACAGAAAAAGCTTACAAATAGGAATATAAAGTTCTCCTCTGTTAACAGTCTGTAAGTATAGAAACTCCATTCTTGTTCTCAATCTTTACAAAAATCATTTCCTCTAGGTTTACTTAAAAATGTCAACTGTGGCTGTTTGCTGGTAGTTCACACATGAAATCCTAGCTACTCAGGAGGCTGAGATCTGAGAATTGTGGTTCGAAGCCAGTCTGAGCAGAAGAATCCATGAAACTCTGTATCTTCAATTAGTTACCAAAAACGCTGGAAGTGGAGCTGTGGCTCAAGTGGTAGAGTGCTAGTCTTGAACAAAAGCACTCAGGGACAGTGCCCAGGCCCTGAGTTCAAGCCCCAGGACAAGCACCCCACACACATTTCAAAAAACTGCATTAAACTACCATGCTATAATTTCTACTCTTTTGAACAGCAGTGATAGCATACTTAACATATGCATTCAAAAAACTAAAAAACAATCTGATTTAATGATGGAAGAACTCTATACGTGGAGTAGCTTCACACATCTATGAAAAATGTAAGTTTACCTACTTGTACTTTGTCAAACAATTCCAAAGCTTAGTTTCATTTCTTTCACATGATTTTGTAAAAGAAAATTTGCAATAAAGCATTGAACTACCTATCCAAATGGTACAGGTAAGATTCAAGAGTTGTCATTATGTACATATGTATAAGCATACATCTTTTCTCATTTACAACTTCTGATTAGCAATCCAAACAGGCAATAGTTACACACACAGATTGCTAATGTGAATAAAGCAATTTTTAAAATCTGTAAATCTACACATTTACCAAAGGTTAAGTCAGTTAAGTACCTTATCATTAAGGCATGTATCTATTCTAAATGATGACAACTCAAACAACTGCTAAGAAATGTAATGGTTATTTTCCAACAGGAACTACCTGTAAGTGATGTCAATACTTACAAGGTAATAGTGAAAAAAATCTTAAGTTTTTAAAAAGTAGTAAGTATTCACTACTAAATACCAAACACTAAAGACTTCATTAAGAATCTTACAAAAACATTTGGAGCAACAGTGGAGAAAAGATCCAAGCTAGTTTATACTCTAATGCTAACTAAAAAAAAAAAAAATCATTTCTAGTACTGTGTTAACGTATCAAACAATGCTATACTCCTGATTAGAATGAAATAATATTTTGCTTCTTATCCCCAAGAGCATCAGCTTCAGAAAAGAGATCTTGGCCTTTCAAGGTATCACGGTAAATCCCAAATACCCAGGAACAAAATGCTACTCAGTATCTCTTGAAGCAATGAAAGATGGCAGAGGAAAATAGGCAAGAACTAAGTCGGCAAGTCCACAGAGAATGAAAAGTTGGTTAAAATCTGGTGTTGAACTACTCACATCAATTTTTTTTAAATAATTCTGAATTTTGCTAAAAAAAAAAAAAAAGGTAGGATCTGACCATCAACAGGGTGGTTGATTTAGTAAGGAGTTGAACAATACTCACAAAACAAATGCTAGTGAACTTCAGTACTGCTATTGCCAACATTTCTCACACTGGTGTAGTTTCTCACACTTATTTAGAAAAAAAAAATTAAAACACTCAAACCCCCTTTCTTCTGGAGTATACCCTACCTATTTACATAAAGCCAGACGTTTCCACACACTGACATAAATATTTTCCTTGCAATTTTAGAATTCTGCATCAGGCATTTCTTCTCTTCAACATTTTAAGAATTTAGCGAAGTCTTCCTTCTTCCTCAAGTTCTCTAGGACCAAGTTACTTAATTAAAACAATCCATCATATGAAGGTCAGTCACCCCCCCCTACACACACACACACGCACACACTCAAAACTGTACTTCAGAAAAAGCATGCCTAGAAAATGATTACAAATGCCCTCTCTCTCTCCCACAAGATACAATGAATCTGACAAGGTAAAGACCTTCCTCCTAAGTTTTACTTTTAAAACTCTCCAGCTCAAGTGTCAGTTGGTCTATCTTGACTTACTATACCTGTTACTGGGGCGACATGAGCCAGTAGGTCCAGTTTTGTCCAAGGAATACATTTTAATTGTTTGCCGTGAGCTAGCTGAATAAGGCATGACATCCAGAGTTAGGCCCTCATTGACTGAACCCCACAGGCGTGGGACTCAACGAAATGCCCCCCCCCCGCCCCACAAAAAGAAAAAAGAAAGTTTCGGAACAGGATGCTTTAGCTGTGGCTAAAGCTGACAGTAAAAAGCAAGGTTGCGTGGCTGGCTACCCCGCCTTCCTGCGGGGCTTCCATGGCTGAGACACGGGAAACCGACAGTCTTGATTTGGTGGGTCCAGCCCCCCCCCGCACCCCCCATCCCCGGCCCTGCATGGCAACTCCTTGAACAAGAGTTTGTAAAGTGCTTAAATGAAAGAGGCCACAAAGACGCGTGGGGGGGGGGGGATCAGCACCGAGTATTTCGTGGAACCACTGTCACGGCGTCGGGGATGGGCTGACGGCTTAACCCCGCGTACGGAGGGGGGAGGTGGAGGGGGGCAGTCCGCTCCATCACCCTGAGACCTAAGATGGGTCGTTCTTGAAGCCGCTGTGCAAACACACGCGAAAAGTTACGCACATGCCCCACGCCAGGACTTCGGTAGTCTCCATCCATCCCTGCAGGGCCCGGGGCGCGGAGGCCGAACGGGAAGGAGTGCAGGGAACCGGGCCTACACCCCATCGACGCGGGAAGGTGCCGGGACCGGGCGGTGGCCCAGTCCGTCGCCGACGCCCCAAGGCTCGGTACCGGGCCCGGGCGCTG